CCACCACCATCACCACCACCATCACCATCACCACCATCACCATCACCATCACCACCAATCATTTAAGAAAACATCTTTTTTTCCTCTCAAATTTTCTCCTTTCCAAAATGGAGGGTGAGTAGATGTGAGGAGCTTTGTCATTTTTCGTTTGCATATTGGCTTCGCCGATTTATTTATTTATTTATTAATTGGGTCGGGTTATTTATTATTTTATGTTTTGTTTCACCGTGTTGTTTGTTGCTTGTTTGTTGTTCGTTTGTTGCTCGCTTGTTTGTTTGTTGTTGCATGAAATTTATTTGTTAAAAAAAAAAAAAAAAAAAAGCACTGCGTGTAATTTTGTTGCCGCTGCCTATTAATACATATATATATTTGTTATTATTATTATTATTATTTATTTATTTAATTAATAATATTAATTAACATTAGTAGAAAATAGTTTATTTATTTATTTATTAAAGAAAAAATTGATTGGAGAAATGCAATTAAAAAAGTTTTTAATGGGGCCAATCAATTTTTTTTTTTTCAATTATTCTTACATTAGAATTGAATTCATTTTGTTTGTTGTAATCGTTTGTTATTGTTTTTGTTTGTTTTCGGAAAACAGGACGGACGTTTGTGCTGCAGTTTTGATGTGCAGTGCAGTATTTCTAGCAGCAACGAGACTATCACTCACGGGAACAGGAGTCTCGGGATTGCAAATGATCCAGGGAGGAATAACGAATCGTCGGAAAATGATGACAATGATAAAAAATCAAATTCAAAATTTGGGATTCATGGTCATGAGAAAATTGAAAAAACTCAATCCGATGGCGGCAGGAGGACGGTTCATGACGTTAAAATCAAATCTGATACAACAACAACAACTACTACAACGACAACAACGACATCGACATCGACATCTACTACATCCACAACAACAACAACAACAACAACCCATACGGGAGATGGGGGGGAAATTGATGTCCCTCGATCACGAAAATTTTCAAGTGATGATAAAAAAATTATTAATTATGATAATTTGGAATTTTATAAAAAAAATTTACCCCTCGTCGTTGATCGTTTGTCGTCTGATTCTAACGGTACTTTTCACGACGGTTTTGATAATTCCAAACGCGATAAAAAAACAACCGATGAAATTTGATTATTATTATTATTATTATTATTATTACGATTTTAAAAAAACTATTAAATCCATAATATTTCAAAATATCCTATTAATTAATTCGTCCTGAGTCAATAATAATAATAATTAATTAAATTCATTATTAAAAATTAAAATCCAAAGCGAAAATCTAGTCACGTTTTTTTTTTTTTTTCTCTCTCTTATATCTTTTATTCCGAACTGTACGCCATTTTTGTTTTACGTTTTATAAACAATAAACTCGTGTTTATAGACAATCTGATACCACGACAACAAAACTATTAATAATAAACAAACAAACTTATATATATATATATAATTTATAATGATTCCCTCAACGCATTTTTTTTTTTTTTTCTTTTTAAAGTTTTTTTTATTATATAAATAATTATTATTATTATTAATAAATTATTCATTTATATATTATATTGTTTTGTTTCTTTTTTTATTAATATAAATATAAATAAATGTGTATAATGGAGAAACTAAATATATGATGCCTTAGTCGAATTAGTATTTAAAAAAAAAAAATTAAAAACGTTAAAAAATCACTACTATTGAAAAACCTTTTTACTTTTTTGTCTTCTCAACAACCACAAACAACAAACCTAAATAAATAAATTATTATTATTATTATTATTAATTTTCTTTTTTTTTTTTTTTTAAAAAAAAGGAAAATTTGTGTGGAAATTTTTATCAGTTACTGATTAGAATTAATTATCATTTAAGACTCCTCCATTTATCACAGCAATAAAATAATAAAAAATTGTAAATAAATTTTTTCATTATTTAATAATAATAATAATAATAATAATAATAATGATAATAAAAAGGTGAACGAACGAAAATATTTAAAAAATTATTATGTAGAGATAGAAAGAGAGAGAGAGAGAGAGAGAGAGATTAAACAATGTAGAGAACATTCCAATGGAATTAATAAATTTTATATATATATATATATATATATATATATATATATATATATATATATATATATATATATATATATATATATATATAATAAGGAAATAATCCATATAAACAGTTTGCACAATTTGTTTGTTTGTTTGTTTGTCTGTTTGTTTGTTATATTAAAAAAAAATTAATTAATTAATTAACCCTTTTTTTCCCTCTCTCTCTCTCTCTGGTCGTTTGTTTTGACGTTTTAGTCAATAAAAATAAATAAATTTTTTTTTTTTAAATTTTTTGAGGAGCGTTTAGGGGATTAAACAACCCTCTTCGTCATTAATAACAATAATAATAATAATAATAATAATAATAATAATAATAATAATAATAATAATAATAATAATAATTTTTAAATCGATACATAAATCGTGAGAGATCAGAAAAACCGTTATAATATATATTAAAAAATTTTTAATCAGTATTTTATTATAATTATTATATATTTATTTATTTATTTAACGCCAAAAATAAAACGAATGATTTATTAATATTAATAATAATGATAATGATAATAATGGTAATAATAAAAACAAGGGGATTTTATTTATTTAGAAAATTTTTTTTTTAGCTTCCTTTTACATCGAATCGTTTTTGTTTTTTGTATATTCATTCATTGATTGATTGATTGAATAATTTTTATTTAATAATCAATAGTAAAAAAATTAAATTATATATAAATGAGTAAATGAATATTAATAAATTAATAAAATAATTGATGATGATAATTTTTTTTGTTTGTTTTATTTAAAAAAAAAAATAAAAGAATTTTATTATGCTCATATGATTTAAATTTTTTTCTTTTTTTTTGAAAGAATTAATTTTATTTATTTATTTATTTATTTATTTTTTTTGTGTTATGAAGACATAATAAATAAATAAATAAGAATTTGAAATTTATCAGTTTGAAATTATTAGGGTAAGAAGAAAAAAAAGGAGGAAAGAAATTTGATAAAAATTTTTTTTTTTATTATTGTTTTTTTGCCGGCATAAAAGTATCAAAAAAAAAGATGATGTAAAGAGATTTATTTTATATTTTGATACCTGTTATCAAAAAGGATTTTAATATAGACAAACCGAATAGTATTATTATTAATAAATAAATAAATAAATAAAAACTTTAATTAATGATAAGGGGGAATAAAATTGGTTTTCTGGTTTTTTATTTCATTTCAAAAGAGGACAAATTGAATGTTTATTTTAAAAACGTTAAAATTATATAAATTTCAGTTTAATTAAATATATTCATGAGGCAAGACTAAAAATTTTTACTCTTTTAATTGTTTTTAGTGAAAATATTTTGAAAATAATTTGACATCATCATAAGTTTGTTGGTGTATTAATAAAAAAAAAAATGAATTGAATAAGGATCATTACGATTCGTATGTTTTATTTTTAATTATTTTTTGTTTTTAAATTTCATTTAAATTAATTAATTATTGCATTAATTTCAATTTATTTAATCATCATCATCATCATCATAATGGAGGATTTGGTACGAATGCCAAAAAATAATCATATTAATATCGAATTTAATCATTTTTTATTAATTATATCGAATTAAATCGATTGAATAATATTCAAACTAATGAATATTTTTTATATTTTAACAATTAAAAACGATAAAATATTCCGAAATCGTAAAAAAAATCCAATTTCGAGTATATTTATTTGTTTTATTATTGATTGGAAAAAATGTAAACAATGAAAGAGCGCGAAAACGGGCGCCAAAATTTCGTGTCATTAGAAATTTTTTTTTTTCCGTATTGAAAACAAAACGTTTTTTATTTTTTGTTTCCTCCATTACGGAAAGTCTGTAAAAAGTTAAACTTTTCAAATGAAATTAATTCTCGAATTAATTCATTTTTATTCGTTTTCAAATGTTGTTTATTTATTAATACTAGCGTTGACTATATAATTTTCATTGTGATTAAATTAATTATATATTTTCATAAAAAGAAAAAGAAAAAAAAAAAAAAAAAAAGAAAAATGTTTGTGAATTTATTTTTAACATTGAATAAAATATTTTTCATTTTAGTAAAGTAATAAATTAATAACGACACGTGTGTGTATGTGTGTGAGTGTGTGTGTCTATTAAACAACAATAACAACACAATAATAATAATAATGATGATTATAATTAGAGATAGAGAAACACAAAACATTTTAAAATGTTTGCAAATGTTTCAAAAAAACAATTTTTTTTTTAATATAAATAAAATTATTTATGTTTCAGGAAAAGTAATGCCGAAAAGTAATATATTTTATAAAAAAAAAAATAATAATTAATTTTTTTATAACAAAATGAACACAAATAGTGAACAAGTCAATGCACAAAAAACTCCAGAACAAACTTCAAAAGCAAGTTTAAATGAAAACATTGAAGTAAAGTAAGATTTTTAAATAAAAAAAAAAAAAAAAAAAGTTTGATTTGATTTTCAATCATTTTATAATTAATTAAATAAATAAATAATAATAATTATTTTATATAGATCTCCACCAGGAGATACAGCATCTCACAAAAGTGATGAATCAGAAGATTATAATCCATTTGAACATAGAAATATAGCCAAACCAACGTCGTAAGATTTATTAAACTTTTTTTCCTTTTCTTTTTTTTTTTTTTTTTAATCTTTTTTTAAATTACTTTTATTTTTTTGTCTTAGGAATTTCGGTGCTACGGCACACATATTAAAAACTAGTTTAGGATCAGGTATATTGGCAATGCCAATGGCTTATAAAAATGCTGGCCTTGTTTTTGGAGCTGTTGCAACTGTGGTTTTGGGTGTGATATGCACTCATTGTATAAAAATGCTGGTTAGTTTAAACAAAAAATCCTAAATTTTATTAAAATTAAACTTCTTCTTCTTCTAATAATAATAATATTAATTTCAGGTTAGAACATCACACATTGTTTGTAAAAAGAAAAAAATTCCTCTTTTAAACTTTCCAGAAACTGCTGAAGGTGCTTTTGATATCGGACCGAAAAGATTTAGAAAATATGCCAAAGCAGTGTCGTGAGTGTTTTAACAATTAAAAAAAAAAAAATTTCAACTTTAATTTATTATCATTATTATTATTATTGTTTGTTTGTTTGTTTGTTTTTTTTTTTTTTCTTACAGCATTTTGGTTACAGTTGAATTATTGCTTAGTTTTATTTTGGGTAATTCTGTGTATGTCGTTTTCATGTCTCAGTCACTGAGTCAGGTAACGTTTTCCCCTACTCATTCCCCCTCTTTTCCCTCCTCCCCCTCCCTCCCCCCCGAAATTTAATTTGAAATTATGAATAGTTTTTTTTTGTTTTTAGGTAGTGGAATATGCATTTCGAGTGGAAATGAACGTTAGATATTACATGCTTATGTTATGGATTCCTCTAATATTTATGTGCTTGTTAAAAACTTTAAAAAGTTTGGTTCCATTTTCAATAATTGCCAATATATTGATCGTCATATCATTTTCAATTACTTTATACTATATATTTAGAGATATTAATCTACCTAACTCAGTAAACATGATTGCCTCTATTGATAGAATGCCTCTTTTCCTCGCAACTGTTATATTTGCCATTGAAGGTATAGGAACGGTGAGTGTTCATCATTCATTGTTCCCATGTCGTCGTCATCATCCAACTAGAAACGAACAATAAAAAATAAATATATATATATATTTTAATTTTATATTTTAGATATTACCAATTGAAAACGAAATGAAAAATCCGGAACGTTTTGTCGGTGGAAAATGTAGCGTTATTGACACAGCAATGACAATAGTTGTTTTATTTTATGGAGTCATAGGTTTTTTTGGATATTTAGAATATGGAGAAGAAACGCGAGGAAGCATAACGTTAAATTTACCTATCGACGAACCGTAAATTCCCCTTTTATCATTATCATTACCATCAATAAACATATTTATTTTACTTTATTATTATCATTATTTTATTTATTTATTACAGAATGGCTCAAGCAGTCAAAGTATTGATTGCATTAGTTATATTTTTCACATATGCTTTACAATTTTACGTTCCAATAAATATAATATGGAACTTAATAAAGCCAAAAGTTAAAGAAAGATATCATTTTTGGGGAGATTTGTCCGTTAGAATCGGACTCGTCACTCTAACAAGTAAACAACAGCAGCAACAGCAACATTTTTTTAAGCAAATAATAATAATAATAATAATAATAATAATGATTTTTATATTACCTTTTCAGTTTTAATCGGTATGGCTGTTCCAAATTTAGAACCTATAATATCATTAGTTGGAGCCATTTGTTTTTCAACCCTTGGACTCCTCATACCAGCTGTTGTGGATACGATCGTACGATGGCCGGTTCTTGGAGTCGCACGTTGGAGATTAATTAAAAATATTTTTATCCTTCTTTTATCCCTTTTGGCATTATTCTCTGGAACGTATACGAGCGTCTTTGATATAATGTACCATGAACATGAAGATTAAAACTCTGACACACATTTATTATTATTATTATTGTTATCTTTTTTTTTTCTTGTTCTTTCATTCATATAATCAATTCATCGATAGAAAAAAAACAGGGGGGGGGCGGCGCATTGATTAATAATTATTATTAATTACGTTTTGTTCTCATTATTTAAATATATATATATATATTTTTTAATACATTAAATTACATTCTTAAAAATAAAAAATTTTTTTTCTTTTTAACACCGTCCCCCTCCCCTTCTTCCCCTCCTTTTCCTTATTACGGGAAACTTTTTTCAATCTTTTGAAAAAATTCAAATGATATGACAACGTGAGCAGGAAACCGGAAATTAATAAAAAATAATTCCCGTATTTTAATGTGATTTTAAATAAATAAATAATTTTAAGCATTTTATAAACATCATTCGATGCCGTTAATTTTTCTCCGTCCATAACAGTGGGAAATTCACGTTTTGATTTAACGTTTTCCACATTTTCCTTAATTTCTAAATTAAATTGTATTCTCACGAATTTTTTCATCGTCAAACCAAAATCCTATAACACGAACCCAAAAAATTTATTATTATTATTATTATCAATTTGTTCTTATCAGTTTATTCTTATCATTAACTCACTGGTTCCACGTCGTAGTAAGCATCGACTTCATTTTTTTTCAAATAATTTTTCACCTTTACGTTAATACCATCGAAGTTACGATGTGGAAACGAAGGCGTTATGAAAAAACCTAAAAAAAATTACGTGATCGTACCTGAGAGAGAAAGAGAGATAGAAATGATAATGATGATAAAAACCTGCAAACGAATTTAAATCCATTCGGTGTGAATTTTCCAATTCGTCACGTTCTAAATTAAAATTTTCCAATAATTTTCCCGCTTCGAATAACAAACGTAAATGACATGGAAAAATTTGGAAAAAATCATTTTCCGTATCGTTATTATTATCATTATCATCATCATGGTAAAATTTAAAAGAGTTTTCCGTCGGAACGTATCTGTGTAAAAAAATCGAGGATTTTTTTTCCACGATAAATTTTTCAAATTTTAATGAAATCGACCTGAAAAAAAAAATTAATAATAATAATAACAAATTTTCCCGGGGGTGGGGGGCAGGGGAGGGTTCAAAACAACCTGCAAGCATCCCTTTGTAAAACATTCAATAAATTTTTTTCATTTAACGGAATTGTAAATTTAAAACCGTCGCTTAAATTTTCCAAAAATTTATTTGACGTGACGTTAAAATTATTCACACTCAATATTTTTCCCGCCATTTTATAATCCGACAATCCCGTATCGATCCTGTAAACTTCCGGTAATATTTTATTTTTCTACATACCCCCCCCCCCAAAAAAAAAAAAAAAAACAGAAAAATTAATTCCGCAATTTTTAAACGGTAAAAAACAAATAGAAAAACTCACATAATCGAAAAATGAAAATTTATAATTAATTTTTTTCAAATTATTTAATTTTTTTATAAATTTACATTCCCGCCAAAATTTTTTAAAAATTTCACTCATGCAATCCCTTAATGGTATACCATCGAATAAAAAATTTTTCACTTTCGTTTTAATAAAAAACCATTTTTTATTATTATTATTATTATTATTATTAATTTTTCCACCATTTATGTACTCTATGAAATCCGATTCCGTATTTCTTCCCGATAGTAGGGAAAGAACCTAAAACAAGTAATAATTAATAATAATAATAATAATAATAAATTAGTTTAAAATTATAATGACTTACGACGTGTGGTATGTTAACGGTTATTATAACATCCGTTTCCGTTAAATTTCCCGATTCTTTATTATTAAATTTTATCGTATTTTTTATTTTGTAATTTAACGTGTCGCAATTTTCTTTTAATGATTTTCCCGTTAGGAAAATTTTTTCATTTTTTTCTCTGAAAAATAAAACAAGGTTTTCCCTTTACTCTCTCTCTCCACACACATTTAATTATATAAAAAAAAAAAAAAAAATGATTTCCGGTTTTACTTATAAACGTATGGACCGATTTTCATCAATATCGGTTTGAATCCATTTTTAACATCTTCGAAATTTGTGACGTTATAAATAAATATTTTCATTTGCGACCATTTATTATTATTATCCCATTCGTTTAACATAATTGAATTTTTTCTAATCGGTATCACCTGGAAAATTTAAATTAATTATTTATTTATTTATTTATTTAAAAAAAAAAAAAAACCGTTAAGAAAAACAAAAACTTACTAAATTAATTAATATTTTAATTAAAATTTCATTTCCGAATGTTAAAAATCCAATTCCGGTTATTAGTAAAAATATTCCCACCAATAAAAACGAATAAAATGATGATGATGATGATGAATTTTTTTTATTTTTCATTATTATTATTATTATTTTACTTCCGTTTTCTTCCTCTTCAACGTTCGTTTGTCGGATCCAAAACAAAAATAAAAAAATTAATAAATAAAAATGACAAATAAGTAATTATTATTATTATTATTATTATTATTATTTCTTATTAAATAATTTCGTTTTTCCTTTGAAACAAATCAAAAATTTTCTCCCCCTCCTCTTCCTCCTCCCCTTTCCTCCATAATTTTCATTTCATTGGAATTTTCCGTTTCCAAAAAAAATAAATAAATAAATTACGTGTTCGTTAAATTTTCCGTGAGGAAAAACGAAAATTATTACACGTGATTTTCCCACAATAATAATAATAATAATAATTTTACATAAATAAATCATTTGAAATTTATGTACATAAAAAATTTATTTATATAAATATATAATGACAAATAATTACGTTAAAAAAAAAAAAAAAAAAAGAAAAATTCGATTATTATTATTAACTCTTCTCACATTTAAAATCAAAAAATTATTAAATGACTCATACATTTTTTTCTTATTTAAATGAAATTATGTACATATCAATGCACGGCAGCCATTTTTTACTATCATTATAATAATAATAATAATAATTAACTCCTTTTTTCCATTGTAAACAACCTGAAAATGATAAGTTTGTTTTTGTTTTGTTTTAACTAAATCATAAACTTAATTAAAATTAAAATCAATTTATTAAAAAATTGAATGTTTTTACTTAACTTATACCCTAATTTTTATTTATTTATTTTTTTTCAGTTAATTATATAAAAAAAAAAAAAAAAAAATCACAAAAATATAAAAAAGAAAAAAAAAAACATTTAAAACAATTCAGACTATATGCGAATCAATCAATCGATCGATCGATCACCATCAATTTTTATCGGACGATAAATGTACTAAAAAAATTGATAATAATAATAATACTGGTAATATACGGATAAATTGTTATAAATTGTCATTTTAATTTTTTTCTTTCGCTTTCGCACTTTTTTTTTTTTTTTTTTTGTTAACAATCATTTAGTAAAATATTTTTTTTTTTTTAAAGACTAAACATTTAAAAAATAAATTATTCAATATGTGTCTCTCTCTCTAATTTTATTTTTTTTTCTTTTTGCTAGAGGTAGTTTTTTCCGGCGTTGAATTTTCTTTTCTTTTTTGCGTTGGCGTACCACCGGATTTGGGTGCTCTTTTCTTTTTTTCCGCTCTTTCCTTTTCTTCCAATTCTTGATTTTCTCTTTCGATCAGAGTGATCAATGTGTTGCATCGCCTTTGAAGTTCCATAGCCGTCCGACTTTTTATAAACCAATCGAATCGAAATTGCGGAGCGGCTCTAAACAAAAGTTTTTTTTAAATAAAAAATCTTACTTGATGACGTCAATAATAATTAATAAGGTATCTATCATACCTGACGGCGGCTCTTAATTCTTCGTAAACGTTTTCCTTGTCGAAACCCAACTTGTGAAGCATACAAACTAAAAACCTATCTTCTTCTTCGATGTAATTTTTACCTTTATTAGTACCGTAAGCAATTCTCAATTGGTGAAAAGGAGCTCTGTATCGAGCCATCTGCAGACAAAAAAATTCAGGTTTTAAGGTATCTTAGTATTTGCAAACAAAATAATTAAACGATTAAAAAAAAAAATTCGAACCTTAGCATCGAGAGCTTTTTTTATGCTAGCCCTCCGCTGTATTTTAGCCTCCCCCCTTTCGATTTGTGCCATGATTCTGTCAATGTCTTGCAATTCGTGACACCTGTCCCAAAATACCGCTGAATATTCCATGACTTCTTCCGGAGTTTTCCCTTCGACATCTTTTGCAATGTTTTCAATGTCGTCTCTCCCGTATTTTTCATTCGCTTTTATAAATTGATTGAAATCCCTTTTCGTCCACGTTGTGAATCCCTTAAATTAAATATAAAGACAAAACGTAATAATATAAAATCCAGTGAGCGTAGTAAGTAATTAAAATTCAAAAATTTCACTCGAACCTGAGTGAGTAATTTTTCTTTTTCCGCAACTTCTTCGTCGGACAAAGGTTCGGCATCGTCAATTTTACGCTGTTCTTCTCTCTGTACCTTGTTCGCATCCGAACCTAATTCGGGATTTTTAGGAACCTTGTATCCCACCGTTTTTCTATAATAATAAATTTCTTGATCTAAAAGTTCAAATAATCTCGGGGGAAAAAATTGAAAATCTTGAACTATGGGTTGCTTGGGAGGACGAGGAGCTTTCGGAGCTTTAGGCTCAGACACTCTAAGAGCTTCTCTGAAATAAGCGTCTACGGCGTAATTGGCTTTTCTTTCTCTCTTGGGCGGTTCGATCCAATTTCCGATCCCTAAAATTTTTTGCTTTTCCCTATAATCCTCTCCTTCGAATTTATAAACGGATTCGTGTGGAGTGTCCACTGTGAAATTCCTGAGAGAAGATTCTCCCAATTCTTCTAATTTTTTATTTAGCATTTCCGTCTGTGAAAATTTTTAAAAAATTATTAGCGTCTTCTCCTTCCTCTTCTCCTTCTTTTTTTTTTAATAATACCTTTTCTTCTCCTTTTTGTAAAATTGTATCAATATCTTCGTCTGTAATCTCAGAGTCTTTTGATGCGAAAACATGATTTGCTCCGTGTCTGATCATATTTAACATTTCGTCCTTGTTTAATGCGTTCGCTTTATTATCAACCAAACGACCTATAATAAAAATTTTAAAAAAAGTTTTTTACTCAAGTTTTTACAATTTTCACTTTTGTGAACTTTGCAGTATTCGTTTTAAAAAAAAAAAAAAAATTACCTTGTTGAATAACCAATTTATCCAATCTTAATTTAACTTCGGCTCTTTCCACAATTTTTTCCTCAACGGTATTTTCCGTGATGAGTCTAAACACTCTTACTTCCTTAAGTTGACCGATACGATGTGCACGATCCATAGCTTGCAAATCCATTTGAGGATTCCAATCGGAATCGTAGAGAATGACGACGTCTGCGGTAGCCAAATTAATACCCAAACCTCCAGCTCTGGTGGACAGCATAAAAATAAATTTTTCACTATTCGGAGCGTTGTACTCGTTTATTTGCCTCTGACGATCTGAAATTTTTTTTTCCGAATAATTAAAAATTGTCCGAAAAATAATTAATAATAATAAAAAAAAAAAAAAATTTAATCAAACCTTCGTGTGAAGTGTTTCCATCCAATCTGCAATATTTATAACCTTTCCAAAAGCAATAATCTTCTAAAATGTCCAGCATTCTAGTCATCTGGCTAAAAATAAGTACTCTAGAGTCTTGATCTTGAAGTCGCGGAAGAAGTTTATCTAAAATCACCATTTTACCACAATTTGCCACCTAAAACAAAAAAAAAAATAATTATTATTAAAAAATAATTATGTTAGAACTTTAAAAAAAAAAAAAAAACAAATATTAAATATACCAAATGCTG